TATATACACACATGTACACACACAGTGTCATGAATTGCAAAGTGGAAATATTATCTGTTATTTTTGATACAATCATCTCGTACCACTTTGCAGCCCTTTTCATAAATTCTTGCATCTACAGTATGTTCTTGAGGTATTTCACCACCACGTGCTAATGACTAGTTAATAATTTAAATTGTTCCCACTGAGCCAAGTTTCATTTCCAACATGCATCGTTGCACATTTGAGGAGGTTTCTCAATAAGTTATCTGGTAGAGAATGAAGATGTTAATCAGTACACGTCAAGCTGTATCTGTACCTCACTTTGCTGCAGCTCGGTGCTGTAAACTGATTATCTTCTCACAGCACTGAGGTAAATTAAGTTGGTAAGGTGAGTGAATGAAACATTTATTGTGTTAACTTCCTGACATCATTTACACAGGAATTATAATTATATTCAAAAGATATGATCTTTGGCATCATTGTGCCACTTCCCAGCAAATGTAAAGATCTTGTTGATCATATGTGGCTTTAATAATTGATTAAAAACTAATTATTTCTGCTTCATTTGATTCAATCTTAGCCAACCCATAATCTGTTGAGACATAGTATACGTGACACCAATTAACCTTTGACTCGTTGAGCTACAACGTGTTGTGAGAGTTCAACAAAGTAACATTATGCTGTCAAAAGACAAGGCAAGGACAGGAATTTAGTCAGTGCAGATTTTTAATGTTGTTCATGATATACATTGAAAATATGGATGCAATTAAATTAAGGTGGGTCAAACTGTGCCTCCTGAACAGCTTCAGTGCGCTTTATTGCCCATTTTGTTTAATTAAACAAAACATATATCACAGAAAGACAGAAAAAATAAATAAATCTAAAAGTAAGTTTTGAAATGATGTGCAGCCATTAGGAAAATGTAGAAAAGTTTGGTACCGAACATGTTTTCTCAGTTTGTGATGCTTTCATTCAAAATATTAAAGTAAAGAAAATGGGAGGATAGAGGACACGTAAAAACGTCTAACCTGATTTAGTTCCAAAGTGCAATCAGGAAACTGATCACTGACTTTAGCACTTTTCTGCAGCAAATTACTTTTTGTTTTAGTTCTTGTTTTCAAAAGTTCTTTTTAAATATATGAAGCAGCCTGAACAATACAGCTTGATTTCTGTGCTCCTCTACATGAACGACTGTATGTCTTATTATCCTGTCACTATCACTTGATATCTCATAATCAAATCAGCAAAAATAAATAAATAAATAAAGCTCTTTTTTTAAATTTGTGATATGAACACATAACATGTTATCATATTCCTTATAATGTTGTGTTAAAATGTTAAACTTGGCTAAATAATTACTGTAATGAAACTCTGTTGGTGGGCACCAGTGACCCCCACGACCCAAAAAGAAAGAAACGGGTAAAAGATAATGGATGCATGGATGTAACTCCGTTGGAGGGATTTAACATAATTTTTTAGAGGCATATTACGTTTTCATCATCTTCGTAGAGAGCTGTCTGATAGGTTGATTTAAATTCTCTGACAGGATTCACACCCCCACTCATCAAATCGTTTATTGACCCTTCATTTCAGCCACCATGCATCTCATTCTCTCTTTACAGATAACAAGAAGAATGATGAATCATCTGACTATGAGTATTTTTTTCATCTCTTTCTGCAAGTGCTTCTAGTTTCTCAATCACAGGCCTGTTTAAACTTCATTTATCTGCGTATGAAAAGGTTTTTTTTTGCACTCCACCAGTATTTTAATATTCCTCTTCTTGGTACTGTGGCCTGACTCTGCTGAGTCAGATCATATCCTGCAGATGTAGTCCTGCAAGCGTGTTTCTGTTCTGGTTTTCCTTGCATATTGCATAAATGCATGAACTTTATGGGTAAATTTACACGGCCAACCACCACTATGCTTTGACTCAATAATTTTAGTGTTTTAAGTTTTTTTTTGCTTACCAGTTTAAATTTAAAGTGATAATCGGTG